GTCATACCTTGAACTGCATTTTAGCCTTACTTTTCTAAGAACAAACATTATACAACCTGCGYCCAGGTTGTATAATCAGGAGTTCTCTTCCTATTCCCCTCCTTACAGTTAAGTGGTCAGGTGAAGAGGTGGTAGAATGTGGGAAACTCCAGCCCAGGATCGTGTTCTGCTGAAAAGCAAGAGCAAGCTGCCTCCCTAAGCCACCAGTCTTGCTCATGACAAAAATTGGTCGTCTTCCTCTCTCAGTGTCCCCCTTCCCCTTGACCTTCCCGGGGATCCTTCCCACCTCTCAAGGATCCTTCCCACCTCTCAAGGCCCAGCTCCAGACGCCAGAGCTCAGCAGGGGTTCTGATCACCCACCTCCACGCCTCAGCTGCACTGTCTGTGCCACTCACAACTGCCCGACTTTCTGCCTTTTTTGGTAGCTATTTGTGTCTGCGCCTGGTAGCTCCTGGCAGCCGCAGACTGTTATTTACTTTCCTGAGAGAACATCCACCACGTTGCTCTCCTTCTAAAAAGTGCAGAATAAACGGGAGCAGAATGACTGAAGGCACGGACAAATGCACACCGGTCTCCCCCGCGTGACCWGCGCTCCTGCACCAGGGCTGATGATGTTCTCTATAACATTCCAAGGACTAGACATTTTCCCTCCCTTTGAGGAAAGTGCCTTTATTTTGTTTATCCAACTTAACGGACCAGTTGTGGGCTGATGATGTTATCAAGTTCCATTAAATATTTTTAATTTCTTAATTAAAAAATGTTTGATGCACCAATGAGAAAAAAGAAAAGGTTACAGCATAGTCGGTTCACAATAAATATGCCTCAAGTGAGTGAATAAATGAATGAGGGAGGGATGGCAGAAGTCTAGGTAGTAGGAAATTGGATAGAAAGAGAAACAAAGGGGAGCAGGACATGACAGACTGCACAGGGGATTTAGGGAAAAGTAGAAAGAGAACACAGAAAAGGACACCCAAGTCTAATTAAATTCTACGTCTGCAATTYTAGTTTTATTATAAACTTAAACTTGATCAGTTAACAAGTAGAGAGACTGTTGGGTAAGAAAAGATAGACTGTAGAAGACAGATCTGGATTGTGATAACCACACAGCTACTTGTGACCTGGGACAAGTAACTCGACCTCTCTGAGCTCATTACTTTATTTTAAAACTTTTTATTTTGAAGTAATTTTAGATTTGCAGAAAGTGTGCAAAAATAGCACACACAAATAGTTCCTGTATACTTTTCACCCAGCTTCTCTTAATGTTAAAATCGATCACAAGTATAATACAAGTATGAAAACCAGGAAATCAGAGCTGGGGCTGTAGTTCAGTGGCAGAGTGTTTGGCGAGCATGCATGAGGCACTGGGTTCAATCCTCAGCACCACATAAAAATAAATAAAATAAAGACATGCTGTCCATTTAAAACTACAAAAAATAAAAATGTTTAAAAAACAGGAAATCAACATTGATATAGTAATACTAGCTAAACTACAAGCTTTCATAGGGTATTACCAGTTTTTCCATTCATGTCTTCTTTCTAGCCCAGGATCAATAGGACTCTACAACACATTAAGTAGTCATATCTCCTTGTCTCCTCTGGTTTTGACAGTCCCTTGTATTTTTCTTATCTTTTATGACCTTGCCACTTTTTTTTTAAAGAGAGAGAGAGAGAGAGAGAGAGAGAGAGAGAGAGAGAGAGAGAATTTTTTAATATTTATTTTTTAGATTTTGGCAGACACAACATCTTTGTTTGTATGTGGTGCTGAGGATCGAACCCGGGCCGCACACATGCCAGGCGAGCGCGCTACCGCTTGAGCCACATCCCCAGCCCTGACCTTGCCACTTTTTTAAAAAGAGTTGAATGTCCCTCCATTTGGGATATCCTGATGCTTTCTCATGATTCGATTAAGGTAAGCACTTAACAAGAATGCCATGAGAGGGTGTCTCACCCCTCTTAGCACATGCTATCAGGGGCTCAGATGATTATTACTGGCACGTTGACTTTGACCCCTTGGTTGAGCCGGTGTCTGCTGCTGGTTTTCTCCACTGTACTATTTTCCCTTTGCAATTAATAAGTATCTGGTAGAGAGATGCTTTGAGACTATGCAAATATCCTGTCTCTCATCAAATTTATTTTCACCCAATAATTTTAGAGTTCATCAGTGGTTCTTGCCTGCAATAATTGTTACTGTCATGTTTTAATGATGATTTCCTGTTTCCCCCTTTCTCCTCCATTTATTAATTGGAATTCTTATCTRTAGTAAGACCTATGCCCCCTGCCACATTGATTGATTGATTTGATATTTATTTATATCAGTATGTACTCAGAAATATTTATTTTACTCTATGGGTCAGAATTCAACACTATCATTATTTATTTGTTGTCTAAACCTCACTTTATTTATCTACAAGACAAAGATAAAGTCAACTGTAATAGGATGAAATGAGATTAGAAAATGTGAAAATGTCCAGTCCAGAGAGACCATCTACTAAATAGATGCATGCTCCTTTCTCTTCCCTTCTTTCAGTGTGGAAAGCCATGATAATTTGGAAGCAAGACCATTCTAAAGAGGTGAAAATCTGAATTTTAAAATTCTCTATTAATGTAATACAGCTTTTATACCTTAACGTAGAAAAGATTTTTTTCTTTTTTAAATTGGTGCATTACAATTATACAAAATAGTGGGGATTCATTATGCCATATTTATACAGTCACATAACATAATTTGATCAATCTCATTTCCAAGTACCATCCCTTTCCTCCTCCCTCCCCTAATTGGCTTGCTCTACTCCTACTGATCTCTCTTATATTATTGTCATTGCAATTTTAATTAGTCATACACACACACACACACACACACACACAGAGACACGAATTTAGCTATCTCAGTGTTGTCTTGTGGAGATCGTTTGGGTTTGGACTATGATGACTTAAGACTGATTTTTAATCAGCATCCCCACAATTTGTATGAAAATAGATCCTTGAGAATACTTGAAAACAGTCTGTTCTTTTAAGTAGTTTAAGTGTTTTCCCAGAAATCTTGTTTACGTTCCGAAGTTGCTCAGCTAAACTATTTTCAGAGATAGTCCAAAGCGTGCCCCAACCCAGCTGTGGCTCAGATCATCACCAGCACTGAATTAGTGAAATCACTGATTCATCTTTGATTCCCAAGGTTATGGCAGTGAGTGGAAGAAAGCCAAGTTTACTTTAAAATTAGATTTTAAAAGTTCTAGCAATTTGCTTTTAAGTTCAGGTCAATTTGAGAAAAAAAAAAAAAAAAGACAAGAATAGGGTCCTAAAGTTGTGAGAGTAGATCTGGAAGTTTAAAATAATTCACAAAATGCAGTAAAATACACCAATAAAATCTCTCCATTTACGGGAACTTTCATTTTCCACTCCATTTTTATCGGTAAGGAAAGTCGAGAATGTCAGGAGATTCGCTTTAAAAAACAACTCTGGGGCAGTGCTGTTTGCTGGCGCTCTGTGCGCTCCCAGAGTTCTGTCTAATACCCTATTGGAGTGGGGCCTGATGCAGGTGAGAGGCAAGGTACTGCAGTGGTTCAAAACCCAGGCTCTGGGGCCTGATTATTAGGGTTTGAAACTCACAACTGCCACTCACCACCTGTGTAACCTTGAGCAAAACACTGTCTCTCACACCTCAGTTTCCCCAGTGGTACTGTGGGGCTCACGACAATGTCTGTCATCCAAGGTTGCTGTGAGGCGCTAGTAAGTGGTCCACGTAAAGTGGCTGGTATTACAGCAGGAGGGGTACCAGCTTCTCCTAGGGATGACAAGTGTCTTTTTGAGGAACACAGCTGGTCTCTCTAGACATGGAACTGATTGTTGGGCTCAGTCTCTCACACTTTCTGCATCTACTGGGCCTACCATTGTCACTGACATTTAAACACCAGAGTCTTCACCAGCAAGCTCTGGAGGCTGTAAAATGAGCTACAAAGTAACAAAGGTTGATGGATCCTAATTAGAATAAGTTATACTCCACCTATGTATAATATTTCAAAATATACTCCACTGTCATGAACATCTAAAAAGGACAACAACAGGATCCTCTGTTGTTGCTGGTTGTCCTTGCAGCATTAGGTAGAATTTACTAACTGACTAAAGTAAGATACTACTCTGTCTGTGAAATTCAACCAATCAATAACCAATAATACCCAGATTAAAATTCTGTGATTTAATATTCAAGGAAAAACACATTAAGTTTAAAACAAAATACAGAACAGAAAATTCAGTCTATGGCTACACTATGGACAGACAGTGTAGCCATAGACTGAAATTAAGCCTCAAATTGTAGTATGCCCAGCCTCCAGTATGCATGGATACCCACTTGTCCTCCTTGTCCCTCCTCCTTGCTCCAGGGCCACAGGGATGCCAGCCATTGACCCTTTCCTCTCTGGGAATCCCTAAAGCCCATAGAGATGCTCCATCTCAAATGTTCCCAGACTCCAGTCACATCTGTCCTCTTTAGGACTGACTTTTGGCTTGGTCTCAGAGGTTGTGGAATGAGTGACTTTTGGGGCTGAGAATTTTCATGGGCTGCAGAGAGAGGAGTGGGGTAAATTTCCCATAGTTTCCCATGTGTGGAACCCCCAGTCATGTTGGTTTTTAAGTTTCTGCTGAGGGGTCCTGACAGTGGGAAAGGGGGGGGGGTATGGGCTAGACAGATGTGGCCAGGGATCCTGTTGTTGAAAATCAAAATTGAGACACCAGTCTTAAAACTTTGGGTGGGACTGGGCAGAGTGGTGTCTAGGGGTTGAAAAATCTGGTTGTCCAAAGGGAGAAGAACTGGCGCCCTCAACAGTGACAGGGAATGGAGATATGAGATCAATCAGACATGAGGGCAGGCAGAGTGCAGCAAAGGGAGGAAGATAGTGTGGTCGCCTCACTGCCCGGAGAAAAGCAGCAGCCCCCATGGAAGTGGTGGGAGGCAGTGGGAATCAGAGAAGAGATACACTTAAAAACAGCCCAGAGTGGCTCCTTACCTCATTGAATCGCATCACAAGGTCCTCGAGGGCATTGTGCTCTCCATTCTGAGAGGTGAGAATCGATGCCGAGATGGACGCTTTGAGGCAGGGCAGGGACCTCTGGCATTCGGGTGTGCCCAGGTCCCGGGTTAAGAAGCAAAGGTAGTCCACTGGCAGGACCTTCCGGTAAATATTCTGCTCCTGCTCTGTCAGGATGCTGGCGACTTCCTCCGGGAACTGGATGAGGGGTTGCAGATCGATCAGCTCCTTGCTGATTCCAGCTGAACTTGAAGGGAAGGCGTTGGAATTGGCCATAGAGGTACCTAGTTGGCGTTCTGAAATAAAGTGACAGAAGTCACAGTTACACGAGGGATGGTATCCCTGACAACAGACACTTGCTTGAGAGCCATTCAAAACCTTGCAGGTTTCTTAGCCAAATCCTTGATGGGTGAACTATCTTGCTTATCTGGAGACCTTTCTGATATTTGTCCTGCTGTCCTCCCACCTCCATGAAGTGGGGAGARGGCATAGTTTTCCATTTTTAGAAACACTATTAATCTGGCATATCATTCTTCAACCAGTTCACTATAACACTCTGTAGAGTACCATTTGCTTCTTTGTCTTCCTTTGCTAAGAGAAAAGAAGTTTGGGTAGGTGAGGGTACAGACAATTAAAATGCAAATGGAAGGAAAGTCATACATGTAATGTGCTTATGTCATGTAAGCATTAGGTGACCTGGGGACCCCTCTGAACAAAGATTTAAAACTTCAAGGTATATTCTGCCAACTCTACGCCTTCAGAAATTTTGATTTCACTGAGGTCCATTTGAGAGTTTGCAAGAGTAGGACTACCTATAAAAGTAAAGAAGGAATGAGTAATAAAATGTATTTAAATAAATCGGTCTTATTCCCTGGTCTACAACTGGAAGGGAGAAGGTGGCAGAAAGAAGCAGAAGAGAAAGTGGCAGGTACATTAGACAGAAGTACCAAAGTAGGAATTCCTAGGCTCAAAACGATTCTTAGTCATACATGCTTTCTTTTTATTTTGACACTATCCCAGTCTGCCTCTTTATTCCCGCCTATATCACGTTCACTTATTCACTAATTCATCTACTTAACCATCCATCCATTCATTCATTCAACAAACTTGGAAAAAATCTATGATGCACCCTAGAACAGAGTTTCACCAAGTACAATCTTCAGAAGACTGGTACTTGGAAGAAAAAACATTTTTGTAGTCATGAAAGTCAGGGATTCATGTCACAGATTCATGTCACACATCTCTTCCTGGAGAAATATGAGGCACACTGGTGCACTGTCACAGGCTCTCATGGGCCCTGTAGCAAAGAACTCATTTACAACAGCTTAACCTAGTGCTCCCCAGAGCCACGCTGCCTATAGTTTCTACGACATCATTCTGTGTGGTCAGTGTCCTTGAAACCTCTTCAGGAAATATTGCCCTAGAGTCCAAACTGCCCTCCTTCTCTAAACAAAGCAAGTCTTTCCTCCTCGGCAGACCTTCCTGGGGGTCTCCTGCACATGTTATTTGCTCCAAATCTTTCCTACATCCCTTCCTTTTCTTACAAAACCCTTAACTGCCCCTTGCTAAAATAAGTCCATCTTTCTTCTGACAACACTGCTACTGGCCACCTACCTGTCATCAGAACTGGATTCTGGGTAATAGTGATGTCCACAGAAGGACTTCCTTGACCTTCAGTTCTCCTCAGTATTCCAGGATTCTTTTTCTCTCTCCATTGCAGAAATCTTTGGAGGTATCACTCCAAATGTTTGTCTGTCTGTCTCTGTCTCTCGATCTCTGTCTCTGTCTTTGTTTCTCTCTCTCTCTGAATTACTGAGCTCTGAAGTCCTTCTTTYCCCCCCAGTTTCCAAAACAAAGCAACCACTATGTTGACAGGACACCTGTGCTGATGTTCTGGGCTCTGATATTTTCCCCTCAACTCATCCTTTCTTAAGCAGCCTAACAGCCTTTGAAACTCTGCACAGGAAGTTCTTGATAGTATTTGATTAAATGAGCTGCTCCCCCTTTTGAGGAATGCTTTCAGGCCAGTAGCAAAAAAAAAAAAAAAAAAAAAAAAAAAAAAAAACAACGCAAACTCTTTAAAGTTTGAGTGACATTGCTCTCTACCGATGCAAATTGGACTTGTAAACATGTTTCAGGCAAAACTTGCTGTTTTGTCTTCGCTATAAAATTTGTCTTTTTTTTTTTTTTCTTAAGAGAGAGAGAGAGAGAATTTTTCAATATTTACTTTTTAGTTTTTGGTGGACACAACATCTTTGTTGGTATGTGGTGCTGAGGATCGAACCCGGGCCGCACGCATGCCAGGCGAGCGCGCTACCGCTTGAGCCACATCCCCAGCCCTAAAATTTGTAATGTACAAACAAACATTCTCTTTGATTGTGAAAAGCAAATAAGTGAATAAGGAATGTATTCTAAGCATTTTGTCCACATTTTGGATCAAACTACCAAAAATCTACTGCAGCAAAAAGTGGGAACTACCGAAATATATTGGGTTTTCTCTAAGCTCAGATTCCAAAAATGTAAAATAAGGCAAATGCCCCAATCCAGCCAACTTGGCTTCACTCTCCAATTTTCTAAATAGTTTAGAAAGTGACTAGCTTTCCTGAAAATTGCATCAGAATGTGGCCCTATGACAGAGGCAGGTTGCAGTTTCTGGACACTGATAATTTATGTACAATGGRATTATCTACATATTGGAATGCTTCTCAGAAGTAATCAGCTCCAAGACACGATTTCAAAATACAGTACTTTACAGAGGAAATAAAAATAACTCCCAAATCTTATGAAACAGTCACTTACTTATCTAATATATTAGAGAAGAGATAATGCAATAAAATATAGAATATTAAGATGATATATTGCAAGTAGCAATACATCTTGCGATATGAGTCACATGCGGTTACAATGAATGACAAATTCAGTGACTGGTGAGAAATAGTAATAAAAGAGAGCTAAAAAAAAAACTGAATAAAAGAAGAAAAAAGAAGCCTGGTTAGTGTAACTTTAATAAATCTGGTGACCCCATGTATCTCAATATAAACGCGCCAGTTACACTCAAAGGAAACACAAATTAGAGCTAGAGACCTTGAAACACATGCAGGCCTTTAACATAGATTTCCTTAAAGCAGGATTATGCAGGGATTTTATACCATGCACCAYAGAGAAAAGTCCCAGAAATATTCTCAGAACATAATTTTCTGTCTGTCAAGTTCCACACGTTTAGCAGCTATCATGTCCCACTTATTTCCTTGCTGGGCTCTCCTTCTTCCTCTTCACATGCCACACTGCCATGGTGCTCAGCTGTGTGTCACCTCCCCACCTCCCTATCTTCAACACAGGACACCTGATGATGGATTAAAGACTCTGTGACACCTGACCCTTCCTCCATGTGTATAGCAATGTTCCTAGAGCCCACGATTATGTAGTTCCCTTGTGAAGGCATTTTTAGAAAATTTCTGCTAAATAAAATTATCACCTCATGGACAGTCATTGCTCTCAGCCCCTGGGTCTTCTGTTAATAGTCACCCTATAGCAGAATAGGGCTATCTTTCCAGGTACTGTCACAGCCTTGACCTGTGTATAATGAGACAAAGTGAYTCCATTTTCCTGCTTAAATAAAAGCTTCTTGTGCTAAGTGCTTTCTATGGATTAATTCAGGACATAGTATTAGCCCTGTTTTATTCATGAGAGAACTACCCTTCACATAAGGTCCYTGAAGTCGTAAGTTAGAGAGCTGGTACCTGAGCAGGGTCTTTTTGACTCCAGAACTCATGTTCCTGGTCACTCAGCATATTGTCACACTGGCATTCCAGTCTGTAGATACAGCTCAAGAGATTTTCGTGTAAATAGGTTCCTTGTCCTTTAAAGGGAGATCTGGTAAATGACCTCACAGGTACTCACAGGGTTGACAGCTCTGTTTCTCGATCAGCATGGAACCATCGTCACTTCAATCACGTTACAACTACGTGATACTACAGTATACAGAAATTCAGATGAGCCCTCTGCCACCCTTGCTGGGGGTTTATAAAATGTCCCCATGCTATAAACCTGTATTTTCCAAAGCGCATTGCTCTGGATTCATACAAAACACGGCTCCTTTGTTAGTAATTTAGGGGAAATATTGAGTTAAATGAAGCTAAACAGATTCCCCCCCCCCTCTTTTTTTAACTGTCGGGTTTCTCAAAGCCCTTAATAATTCCCATGGGAGAAACATAATGTGACATAGCCTCCCTCAACCTTGCTGTCTGTCTCTGTGTCTTTTGCATGGCAATCACAGTCTCTGAAAAGTGTTCTTATCACACTCCACAATTCTCAATGGGAGAAATGGTGCCTAAGGGATTGGTGATTTCAAGAGCTTAGTTTGCSCCGTTGCTGGAATCCTGTGTAAGGGTCCAAGGATGAGAGGGCAGTGGCTGATTTAGGAAATTGCAAGTTGCTCCCTAGGGCTGAAGCTTATACTAAGAGAGGCAGGGTACTGCTCGAGAAATCACGGAAGGAAGCTTCATTTTCCAGAAGGATCTAGAGAATGAGAGAGTCTCATGAAGGAACAAAGGCAGACAGGAGTGGTGGGAAGAACTAAACACAGATGCATCCTAGACTTCTGGGTCTTCCATGGATGTTGGCATCTCAAGGGACAGGAAGCCCACACCAAGTCTTCCTTTGAAGAGTGCTGCTCTGAGAAGATGAAGCATCCCCCAGAGCCCTCCTACCAGACCACAGAGTCTTCTTCTCCTCCCTTGTTCTCTGGTGATCAGCTCAGCAGCCCTTGACCTTGTTAATTAGCTGTCATTCCTAGGGGTTGTACACAAATTGCACAACCCACAAATACCCAGGTATTGATTAGTGCTTTTCCTATACTTGTTCATCTAATGCCTTTGGGGAAACTTCTACCCTCCAGGCTTAGCACTTATGAAAACAATGCTGATTCAGATCCTGATCGCATCCAGGAACCTTCAGCTTGGGCTAGAGTCCAGAAAAACCTTCTGCTTTGCATTTATTTCTCCTTTTGCTTTTTGGTGCCCACCAAAAGTCAAAACATTTGGAGTTTCTTGCTATGTCTCTCTTGGTGTTTCATACCCATTGGTTCCTGGGGAGGCTTGTTATTCTTAGTGGTGAGAGAAGATGGACTTCAAAGAATGTGCTATGGTAGGTAAGGAAGAGGAAACTGCCCACTTCCTTTATTTCCAGTCATTAGGTAGGGATCAAAACAGAATGACCTGGCACACAACCCACTCTGTATATACTCCCCTGCTTAGAGATGAGGGGCAGCTCTCCCTGTTATACTGGCCAGCCACTG